ATATAAATAATTATTAAATTATATTATATATTTAATATAATTTACATGCATATATTACTTATATATTACATATAAAATTTACATTATAATATTACTTTTTTTAATTCATACTACATTTAAATAATAATTAAAATTTTATTTTTTTGTATTATATAATTAAATAGCTAAATAGATAAAAAAATAAATAATAAAAACAAAAAAAATAATATTTTTTACACTAAAATTTAAATTAAACTTATATTTAAATTTGTATTGCAAACTTGAGAGCTTCACTTCTACAATTTAATCATACAGCACTGGACAGTTTGCTTTAATATTATTTAAATAACCTTCTTTTGGTTTAAAGGAATAAACAAGTCATGTATGATAGTCATTTGATAATGATCATTTAAATATTTAAAACACTCTAAAATTAAAATATACAATTTAAATTAAATAATTAAATTTAGCATTTAATATTAAATTTATTAAACTAATCTACTTAATTATATAAATAATATTGCAAAATGAAAAAGAACTATTAAAAAAAAAAGAAAAAAAAAACTTAAAACTTATTTTCAATATTATTAAAAAAAATCATTATATTTTAAAAAACCAAATTATAAAAGCAAATAAACAAGCATAATTTCCTATTTTTGTAAGTTTTTTCAAAATAAAAACATAAAATAATTCCAAACAAGACCTAAACTTCTTTTACTTGCTCAATAATATCAAAAAAAACTTAAAACTTATTTTCAATATTATTAAAAAAAATCATTATATTTTAAAAAACCAAATTATAAAAGCAAATAAACAAGCATAATTTCCTATTTTTGTAAGTTTTTTCAAAATAAAAACATAAAATAATTCCAAACAAGACCTAAACTTCTTTTACTTGCTCAATAATATCCATAAATCAAAATGAAGACATGCATTACTGAACATCAAGTACACAGTATTAAAATAATACAAAATGCTAAACAGAAAAATTTTAATAACTAAGAACATTTACATTTACATGCATATAAATATAAAATATATATTATTTGAAGAAACATGGAGGGGATCATACAGGTGTTGAAGTGACAGAATCTGCTAGCTCCTCCAAGATCTCTTTCTGATCCATTGCTGCACAAGACTGCACCAGAGATTTAAAAAAAAATTAGTTTCCACCAGCCTTTTGCTCAACGCTTGGGGGTTTTACCTACACACCACTCTATAATACTTACATCCATATATTTATATTTATGTTATAACTTAGTTTCTAAATAATATCAAACTATATACATGGAATAACATGTTTCACTTCAAATTTGTTATAGTTAGTGGTATTTTTTGTCATTTTAAGTGTTATATAAATATAAAGATTTAGATATCAAATAAAAATCACAACAATTTACTTATATATATATAAACAAAGGAACCAAATGCATAAGCACTCTAAGATTTATGAATAAAATAATTATAGTATGTTAGAATATTACGATAAGCTACCATGTCATTTAACTATATATGATTTGCCTCTAAAACTACTTTGCCATTAGGGCATCTCCAACCGAACGGCAAACACTTGTTTGCCGTTCTTGTTTTGCTCCAACCGATCGCCATTTTTTACGTCATTTGATGGCGGATGAACAGTGCAACGCCAATATTGGCGTCGCACTGTTCACTCACGCCATTTTTTTCTCTCAACCGGAAAAACGCGCGAAAGAGAGAGCGATCGTTACCTTCTCAAAAACACCTAAAATGGCGTTCGATTGGAGCATCACCGCGCCATTAGATTTATGAATAAAATAATTATAGTATGTTAGAATATTACGATAAGCTACCATGTCATTTAAATATATATGATTTGCTTCTAAAACTACTTTGCCATTAATAGTTTTGTTAAATATCTTATGTAAGAGTTCACCAATAAGCTAAGCTACAACTCACCAAAACAGTAAGATTTTATCTAAATGTTTGAATATTGAGAATGTTATGATCAATTCTATTAGGACTATAACACCTATGAATCATGTTCCTAAAAAAAAATAATGTCATCTCTACTAAAGTCTATGGCATGGACATCAACATAAGAAACATTTGTTAATGAATTTGATGATAATGATGGCACCATGGTTCATTAATATTAATTTGAGGGTATATTAGATGCATAATACGATTTGCAAAATATATTTTTATTTATGCAACATCCTATTGTAATATTGATGATATTTTTAATAATATTTAAAATTTAGAGGTTATATAAGTAAATATAAAGCTTCGATGGGAAGTATGTAAAAGCCCCTTATTTTAAGTCTCTATGAGGCTAAGTAACGTGAAAGAATTTCAACTGGATAATATCCATATTCCAAAGAAAAACAAACCTGCACAGCTGTCTCAATATCACCCGAAAGGAAAGACGTAAGCTCAAAATTCATCTTGAGGCGATGGTCAGTTACCCTGTTATCCTATAAAACAGACAATTTTTACTTATAAATATAACCAAGGAACTTTTAAACAAAAGCAGTATTAAAAAAAAAAAAACCATAATTGGTAGAAATTCAAGTTAAGAATATAAAAAAGGCTCTCATCACAATCTTAAAAAAAATAATAAAAAATTGTAACTACAAAACGGAAAAGTTTTAATTTTACCTTGAAATTGTATGTTCTAATTTTCTCTGAACGAGCACCTGTACCAACCTGCATAATCCAGATAATTTCTGCATGATATACGCTGACACAAAGCATAATTAAACTAAAATGTTGAAGTGATGTATTAAACTTCAGTAGTAAGCCTTTCTATATGAAGTATAAACGTAGCAGGACGAGGACAGTATTAGAGAGGAAATAAAGAACAGGGGATAACCAAAAACTATGTTATTCTGAATAACTTAATGGAAAAAACATAGATAGGAAGAGATAAAAGAGGCTAACAGGAGGATAGACTGTGTCCGGCCTTAATTTATTTGCTGCGTTGAAGAACATGGAGGAGGGACCGGTTGGACCGGTCCGGGTCTACACAAGGCGGAAGAAGCACGGGAGAGCAGGGGGGCGGAAATCAAAGAGGGGCCCATGTGGGCTTAATGCAAGGGCGGGAGGGAAAATTTTTGAATGGGAGGGTTGTTTAGGTATTTTATAATTCTCCATTATTGTTATTTAGGAGATTAGGAGGGAAAGGGGGATTATCTTGAATTTGAATGAGATTTGAGATCAAGGTTTTCTTGCTTTTGGGCTCTTGGCGTTGCCGGAGATTTGGAGAGTTGTTCTTCCTCTTGAATTAAAGAACAATTGTATCTTTGCTGATTTTATTCATCTACTAGTGAAATACAAGTCTTGTTTTGGAGTTTCTCTCAGTTTTCTTGCAATTTCTTGCTGTTTTCCCTGTGCTTGGCTGCTGTCCACTGCTAAAAACAGCGAAACAGCAGTTTTCCTGCTGTTTTCCTCTCCGATTGTGATTAGGTTTGCTTGCGGACTCAAGTATTCCTTATACTTGCGAACTCAAGTATTTCCTATCAAATTAGTATCAAAGCGTTGTCTTGGGACCATCGGCGGCTGAAATTCAGAAATTTCAGCAAGGAACTTTCTTCCGCAAGAGAACTTCTCAGCAACCTTGGGAGAGAAGATGGCCGGAAGGAAAGTAGAAGTTCTGGAAGGTGAAATCGGCCAACTGAAGACCGATTTGAAAGAAAGAATCGCTGAATTTCAAAATCAATTCGCATCCGTCCATGAAAAGATGGATGAGTGGTTCACTGCATTAGAAGAAATGATGAAGAAGATATTAGAGGGAAAACCAAATCTGACGCCATCGGAAGCAAGGGAAGCCACCGGCGACAATGGGAGATACGGGAACCCGAACCCAAGGGGAGGGAGACTACGGAAGTGGAGATCCTTGATGGGAATGACGGAATGCCTCCGCTAGAACTACTTTCTAGGGAGGAGATGAGCATGGGTTATGAGAGAAGGGGTGCTGAATTTTTTGGGAGAAGGGATGAGTTTTACCGTCGAGGTGCTGAGGAGGAGAGGAGAAGGGAAGAGTATGAGGAAGGGCCGGCGAAGGGAGGGTCGTGACCATTGGGGAGCTTTTCCCCCTTGGGGAATGGAGGTTATGGAGTAGTTAGGGGAAACAGGGGAGATCCGAGGTGAGGAAGTTGAATATGCCCATCTTTGAGGGCGAGGCGCACATGGCTGTATCTACAAAGTGGAGCGGTACTTTGCGGTCATAGAGGAGGAGAAACTGACAGCTGCAGGATTGTATTTGGAAGGGAAAGCATTAGCGTGGTACCAATGGCGGGACATGAGGAGGCCCATTCGAAGCTGGAGGGAGTTCAAGGACTGCCTGTTAAAGTATTTTCGAACCAGTAGGGTAGGAGACTTCTACAAGCAGTTTTTTGCCCTGACACAGGAGGGGACGGTAGCCGATTACCGCGACAGGTTTGAGTACCTCGCGAACAGATTGGGTTGTATTTCTGAGACCGTGCTGGAGGGGAACTTCATGAAGGGGCTTAAATCAGAGATCAGGACAGCCGTCAGGGCGATGAGACCACGCGACTTAGGGGAGGCCATGGAGTTGGCACAACTGGTGGAGGACTAGAAGCACTTGGAGAGGGGAGCTCGTAGCAGTAACTATGGGGGATCCTACAAGATGACGACTACTTTCCTAGCCCCCAAAGGAACCGCATAGGGAGGACTACAAGAAGCACCAAATAAGAGGACAGGAGGAGGGGGGCCTGGAGGAAATTTTAATAAGTTGATGGAGAAGGAGATCCAGGAGAAGCGGACAAAGGGGTTATGCTTCAGATGCGACAAGAAGTACATGCCAGGGCATAGGTGTAAGGAACGAACTCTTCAGGTTCTCACCATCTATGATGACAAGGAAACTAAGGAGGGAGGCGAGAGCGGGATAGGGGAGGAAGAAGAAGAGAAGCTACATCTGGATGTAGTTGAGATTTCTCTAAACTCTGTGGTGGGATTCATACCAAATCACACCATGAAAGTGAGGGGAGAAATAAGGGATCATGAGGTGGTGGTGTTGATCGACAGTGGGGCTACACAATTTCATTTCTAACCAGATTGTACATCTGTTAGGAGTGAAATTAGTAGACACGGGAGGATATGGAGTGATGATGGGCACGGGGAAGGTGGAGATGTGGAGAGGAGTTTTTAGGGGAGTGGTATTGTCCATTCAAGGAATCCAGGTAAGGGAGGATTTCCTTCCCTTAGAGTTGGGGAGTACCGATATCATCCTGGGGATGAAATGACTTTAGACTTTAGGGGAGACCAAAGTCAATTGGGGCGCGCTGAGGATGGAACTGATGGTGGAAGAATAGAGGATGATGATCCACAGTGATGCAGGGCTATCTAGGACAGGAGTATCTCTCAAATCCATGATCATATCCATACAGGAGGTGGGAGGGGGATACTTAGTGGAGCTGCAACGCTTGGAGAACGTCAGTGTGGGGGAAGAATGAGACATTCCACTGGTGGTGCAACCACTCATATAGCAGTTCAAAGAGATGTTCCAGCCGCCACAAGGCCTGCCACCACCTAGAGAGCAGGAGCACACCATCCTTCTAAAGGATGGGGTGTCACCGATTAGTGTTCGACCCTACTGCTACCCCCAGATTCAAAAAGATGAAATTGAGAAGCTGATTAGGGAGATGTTGGAGGCAGGGATTGTTAGACCTAGCATGAGCCCCTTCTCTAGTCCTGTCTTACTCGTAAAAAAGAAGAATGAGAGTTGGAGGTTTTGCGTGGATTACAGGGCGCTAAATAAGGAGACATTACCAGATAAATTCCCCATACCAGTGATCGATGAGTTACTAGATGAGTTGAACGGAGCCGTAATATTTTCCAAGATGGACCTAAAGTCTGATTACCACCAAATTAGAAAGGAGGAGGACATTCAGAAGACGACATTCAGAACGCATGAGGGGCACTATGAGTTTTTGGTGATGCCGTTTGAGCTCACTAACGCCCCGGCTACTTTTCAGTCCTTGATGAATAGAGTGTTCCCTCAGCATCTGAGGAAGTTTGTGCTAGTCTTCTTTGATGACAATTTGGTGTACAGCCGAACGGAGGAGGAGCACTTGGAGGAGGTTCTTAGGATCCTACAAGCCCATAAGCTGAAGGCTAACTTAAAGAAGTGCAGTTTCGCCCAGTCCAGCGTGGAATATTTGGGGCATGCGGTATCTGAAGAGGGAGTGGCGGTCGACCAGTCAAAGATTGAGGCAATGCAGAAATGGCCAATGCCTAGGAACATAAGGGAATTGAGAGGTTTCCTAGGATTGACTGGCTACTACAGAAGGTTTGTGAAGGGATACAACACCATCACCTGGCCCTTGATTGAGAAACTGAAGAAGGACAACTTTCTATGGGGGGAGGTGACAACCCAAGCTTTTGAGAGGTTAAAGAAAGCTATGATGACAGTCCCAGTGTTAGCTCTTCCATATTTCAGTCAGATCTTTATAATGGAGACCGATGCGTCAGGATATGACTTAGGAGCAGTGTTGATGCAAAATCACAGGCCTATAGTATATTTCAGTCAGGTGCTATTGACCAGGGCTAGATTGAAGTCTGTGTATGAGAGAGAGCTGATGGCCATAGTCTTAGCCATTCAGAAATGGCGCCCTTATCTGTTGGGTCGGCATTTCATTGTTAGATCAGAGGAGTCTGAAATATCTGCTGGAGCAAAGGATGGTGACTGAGGAGTATCAGAGGTGGTTGTCAAAGCTGTTAGGCTATGCTTTTGAGATCTAGTATCGGCCTGGGGTGGAGAATAAGACAGCTGACGCCTTATCTAGGTGTGTGGGGGAACTCCAGGAGGTGGTAGTTTCAGTACCCCTGATGGTTGATTGGGGGGCCATCAAGGAAGAGAGCATGCAGAATGAAGAGTTGAAGAAGATCAGGGAAAGTTTGAAGAATGACAGTAACAGCCATTCAGGGTACTATCTGGAAGGAGAGAGGCTATTATACCAGGGAAGGTTTGTGACGCCACAAACATCAGTACACGTTCCTCACATAGTGCAGGAATTCCACGACAGTGCAGTTGGGGGTCATTCAGGAGTACACAAGACATATAGGAGGTTGGCATCAGAGCTCTACTGGAAGGGGATGTATAAGGATGTTGAGGAGATGGTGGCAAGGTGTGAGGTGTGTCAGAGAAATAAGTACATGGCAATGGCGCCAGGAGGATTACTCCAACCATTAGCACTTCCAAACAAAGTATGGGAGGAAGTGTCTATGGACTTCATCGACGCAGCCTAACCCGCTCAAAAGGTTTCACAGTCATTTTTGTCGTGACAGTAAGTATGCACATTTTATCCTCCTACGACACCCTTACACCGCAGTATCAGTGGCGGTGACATTTATCAGAGAAGTGGTTAGATTACACAGGATCCCATAATCGGTTGTGTCGGATAGAGACAAAGTGTTCCTCAGTCAGTTTTGGAGAGAACTTTTTAGAATGTAGGGCACAATTCTCAAGAAAAGCACCGCGTACCATCCACAGACAGACGAGCAGACAGAAGTGGTTAACCGGAGCTTGGAGACATATTTGAGGTGTTTTGCTTCTGAAACACCACGGAAATGGGCTAAATGGTTGCGATGGGCGGAGTACTGGTATAACACTTCGTACCATTCGACATCCCAAATGACTCCTTTCAAGGTGCTCTATGTAAGAGACCCCCACACTTAGTACATTATGAGAAGGGAAACACACCTGTCTCTTCAGTCGAACAGTATTTAGAGGAGAGGGACCGAGTGTTGGAAGAGTTAAAGAAACATCTGGAGATGGCACAACAAATAATGAAGAAGCGAGCGGATATACACAGAAGAGATACAATATAAAGTGGGTGAGAAAGTGTTCTTGAAGCTAAGGCCCTACAGGAAGAAATCAGTGGCTAGCAGGAGGAACGAGAAACTAACCCTGAGATACTTTGGTCCTTATGAGATCTTGGGGAAGATTGGAGCAGTGGCGTATCGTCTAAAGTTCCCCCCCTCCGCTACTATACATCCAGTGTTCCATGTGTCACAACTAAGGAGAGCTATGGGAGAGCATGTAAGTAGCACAGAGTTACCAGCAATAATGACGGAGGATTGGGAAGTGATGTTAGAACTCCTGGAGCTTATGGGGGTAAGATCAGATCAAGAAGGCAATAAGGAAGTGTTGATTAAATGGAAGGACCTCCCAGATTTTGACGCGACTTGGGAGCCGTTTGAAAGAGTGAAAGAGCAGTTCCCCTCCTTTCACCTTGAGAACAAGGTGAGTTTTTGGGAGGGGAGTAATGTTACGCTGGCCCAGGAGGGGCCGGCTGGATCGGTCCTGGTCTACACAAGGCGGAAGAAGCACCGGGGGGGGAGGGGAATCAAAGGGGGCCCATGTGGGCTTAATGAAAGGGTGGGAGGGAAAATTTTTGAATGGGAGGGTTGTTTAGGTATTTTGTAATTCTCCATTATTGTTAATTAGGAGATTAGGAGGGAAAGGGGGATTATCTTGAATTTGAATGAGATTTGAGATCTAGGTTTTCTTGCTTTTGGGCTCTTGGTGTTGCCGGAGATTTGGAGAGTTGTTCTTCATCTCGAATTGAAGAACAATTGTATCTTTGCTGATTTTATTCATCTACTAGTGAAATACAAGTCTTGTTGGGAGTTTCTCTCAGTTTTCTCGCAATTTCTTGCTGTTATCCCTGTGCTTGGCTGCTGTCCACTGCTGAAAACAGCAGTTTTCCTCTCCGATTGTGATTAGGTTTGCTTGCGGATTCAAGTATTCCTTAGGGTTACTTGCGAACTCAAGTATTTCCTATCATATTATACAGAGGAACTTTTAAGCCTCCAAAGTTACAAAGAGATATCTCTATGAATGGAACTTTGGCATCCCAGCCAACAGCAAAAACTCCAATTTACCTCAAGATAGTCCTAGTTGTTGAGAAGATTCTGCTGTACAAGGTTACATTTTGTCTTTATGCAAAAAATCTTTATTCAATGGGGAGGTCATCTACTATCAGAAGAATCATGGATGACTTATAAGAAGCTTCAATGCATCTTCCATGACCTTCAAGATATTGACCCTCAGCTTAATTCTCCACAAGAGAGTTCTTCACACCATAGGAGCGTTGATGACGGTCATCATATCATTCAATGCCGACAACATGATTAATTAAGAATTCCATTTACTTATTTAGCAATTCTTATTTTGGAAAATTTTGGATTTTATTTTGTTCGGGTTATTTGCTGTATTGTTATATTATTTTCTTTTAGTCACTGGGCCCTTTCATTATAAATAAAGATACCATGGGCTAGATTAGATCATTGATTGAGTATAGAATAAAAAATTGAAAGTTCTCTTAAAAGCAATAGCTGATCTACTCTCCCTTCTCTCTCTCTCTCTCTGTAAAACCCGCAAAATGCTATTTTAGGCTTCGCACGCTTTTTAAAGTGCCGCGACGAATTTTTAAGTAAGATTTTCAATGTTAACGGAATTTAACGAAAATAATTTTAGAAAATCCCTTGCGAAATTCTGATTGTTTTGATATATATAACCCATACCTAATTTTGTCTATTTTAGGAATTAAAATTAATCAAAGTCTCTAAATGCCAACTTTGCCCCTAAGAATTTCTTAAACCGAAATTATTCAAGTGAGGGTATGATTGACTTTTAGCAAATCCTATTCTCCCTAATGGAACAAACCGAACCCCTCCCCCTTCTCATTTCACGCAAACGAGCGGACCGAACGGGAGGACGGACGGACGGGCGGACGGCGTGGCTTCCGCGAGGGCTTTCCGGCGGCGATCTTCCGGCGAAAGTTTTAGGTCAAATCGAAGAGGACGACGAGAGGAACACTCAGGTATGATTATTTTAGAACGAAACTTCCTAAATCTCAAGTTATTTGAGATCGAAAAATCTAGGGTTTTTCCAAATTTCGATTTTCTTTCACAATTTCTTTACGAAAATTTCAAGGGAGGATTAGAGGAATGTTTTAGCAATGAAAATGAAGAGATTTAAGGGAATTTTGGAGAAAGAAAAATTAGGGTTTTTCTTAGATTTTGAATTATGAGAAATCTCCTTTACAAAAATTATTCTTAAAGATGTTAGGAATGTTTTAAAGCATGAAATTTGATTTTTTTAGGAAAAATTTCAGTTTTGTAATTTTCATAATTTATTTAATCCGAAAATTCATAATATAATTATTAATATATATTATGAATCAATTTTGGAACAATGATTTGATGAAATTGAAGGTTTATGGATTTCCAAAAATTAATATTTAATTAATCCGAAAATTCATATTAATTTAATTAAATATTCATTGAATGTTGTATGAAATGATTAAGGGGAAATGAAGATTTAGACTTAAGAATTTGAAAATAAAATTATGACGTCTCTTTTGTAAATCTTTCGTAGGTTGTGATCTTTAAAGTGTATGGTGGAAGACTTGTGTCGAAGCGACGTGTCGTACTTGGTTTGAGGTAGGTACTCATGTTTTTGATAAAAATTTCATGATTTTGTTCTATTAGTATTTAATGCAAATGATTGAAAAAGTTTCATATGACCTGAATTCATGACTTTTCATTTTTTTATGGCAATATGAATATTCGAGACGGTTATTTCATGAATTTAAAAAGCTTCAAAATGTGTTGAGAATAAATGTTTTATGTTTTGCACATGATTTTTATACTTGTTTTTCCATGTATATATGAATGAAAGATTGCATATTAAATGAATGTGCATGCTGATGCGGAGTGCCCAATGGTAAAGGAGGCTCGTAGAGCCAATGGTAAAGGAGGCTTGTAAAGCCAATGATAAATGAGGCTCGTAGAGCCAATGATAAAGGAAATGGCCAAATTGCCTGGGTACCTGATCAATACCAAATTATGGGCACATCCGAGATGGGTGTTACTAAAACATTTTGCATAGTATGGATTCTTATGTTCTTTTCAAATTAAGAAAATTTATGTTTAAGGAAAAAGGTAAAGGAAACATATTACATTAAGGAAAGAGGTTAAGAAAAGTATTTCTTTTATGTACTGATACGAGATTATTCAAGGTTGAAGATTCTTTCATGTTTTCATACGAAATTGCTTTATTTTAGTTTTATGCAAATTTTTATTTAAAGACATGAATTGCCTGCTGAGCGTTGGCTCATAACTCGTTTGGAAATATTTTTCAGGAGATAAGTGATGGCTGCTCGACGACCTTATACGTATCGTCGTAGGGGACCTCTGGATGAAAGGTTCCATTTTATGATTTAAGTTTGAGTCTTTGAATTTTAATTATGTGATGTTTGTGAGTTGAGTTTGTATGTGTGTAATGAACAGTAAGTGAAGTTTATGTAATGTTGATGGATTAAAAAGTTTTAGCAATTGTATGTGTTGAACAGTTGAAACACTTGAGTTTGATATTGTTTAGTGGCTCTTTCATGTATTTTGAGATGATATTTATGTTCTGGTCTTTAAGTTTTAAATGAAAGTATGTTATGTATTATGCTCTTCTATACGACCGACTGATCCCGCCCCGATATTATTGGGCTAGCCGGGCCGGGTCGTGACACACACTCTCTCTCTCTCTCTCTCACCTATTTTCTCAATGACGACATTTCATTTGCTTACGTCCTAACTCAATTGTTCACTACTCTGAAATTATACTAATTATCTACTGGGTGTTATTTCTTTTAGACCAATGGACCACTTTTAAGTTCATTCATCATGTATTACTACTATATTGCCTATTGGGACGGGCTTCTCAGTTTTCGTTACTTTTTGGAGTCTTCTCAACTGGGTAATGAACAATTAAGCTGTTGATGGCTTGGCCTATTACTTCTCTGGACTATATATTAAGATGATGGGTTCAATTGTTGCTTGGATTGCAATTCTTTGGTCATTTTGGTGCTCACAAGTTGCTCAAATATTGTATGAAATTTGGGCTTTTCTCACTGGTGATGGTGGGCCCTTTTCCTTTGTGCTTCCAGAATGTTCTCTAGTTCTAAAAAATTTATTTTGCACTCTAAATGCTTCATTTCAATATGGTTTATCCATCTGACAGCTGGAATATTTTTTAGTTAGAGCACAGTGTGGGAACATCATTCATAGTGCTGGTGAAGGGGTGAAAATATTCCGCTGATACAAAGCATGTGGAAGTCATATATTTCAGTAAGAGCTATTCATTATGTACAATAAATTTGTATATCTTATCTCGTGGCTCCTGAAACTTCATCCACTCCTTGGGGGAGATCCTCCTCTAAAACCAAAGCTCGGCTAATGTTCAGCTTATCTTCCTCCAAAGAGGTAATTATTACCTCATCTGCATGCAATATCATTTGATCTAAATCCACCAGATACATTAGCTCCCCATGATGCCATGAACATCCTGTTTGTAAGGGATATTGATAATCTACATTCACAGTCCTATAACTCTATTGTTAGAATTTAAAGTATAGAAGAGCAACTGGGCAAAATGTTTTAATTTCTTTATGTCATAAGAGGTGGATAGAAAGAAATTATGACATAAAGAAAATCATATAGCTACTCTCCAAGACTTTCTAGACTTCAAGCAAGGCTATAAATGAGGACTTCCGAGGTTATCCTCTTTCATCATAAAGACTTACTACACTTGTTATATAGAAATCTTTGATGGTGTATTTTGATTTTTTTCTAATCAACTAACTATTCTCTAAAATTGCCTGATATTGTATTAATTTTATTGGCTGATTATAAATTTTGTTCTTAAAAAAAACTCTTGATTGGGTTACTCTACTGAACTAATGGATCAACATAGGCTGAATGCTAAATTTGTTGTTGTATTAATTTCACTGACAAATTATTAAATTTTTCTTTAAAAAAAAACTCTTGATTGGGTTGACATGAGTCATGACTAATTCTAATGGATCGGCATAAGCATAACATGGGTAAACCTTAAAGTTGACCCTACATGACTGAGTCAACCCATTTGGAGTAAACTAGATGTTAGAGTCTTCTAAATCATATGTTGACAAACAAACATATTTATGCACATATGTATGTTAGCATGCAAGACAAGCATTAAAATGATTATATTTGCAGTAAAGGTTTTGTTAGACAAAAATTGGAACCTGTAATTTCCTTTGGTTTCTTATTGATGCCTGTTGCTCTTTTACTTTGATCTCGTAACTGCAAAAACAAAAGAGAAATAAACACAAGTCTTTTTAATAAACTCTAACTTGGAAAATTAGGGTTTGGAAATGGTATGTTTTCTAATATGATGGTCCGAAGACGAAATTGAGGTATAGCATCACTGCAATCATTTTATAATACAACAACAACAACATCAATCTTTTGTCCCACTACGAGGGGTCAGCTACATGAATCTTTTTTCGCCATTGTGTCCTGTTAAAAGTCAAATTTTCATTTAAATTTAATAATGAAAGATCATTTCTAATATTTTCTAACCAAGTCTTTTTAGATCTACCTCTACCTTTCTTAACATAAGTAAAAAATAATATCTCAACTTTTCTAACCGAATCATCAAAAGGCCTCCATTTAATGTGACCAAACAATCTACTCCAACCATTTTAAAACACAAGTATCAAAAATAGCTCGTGGCGAAAAGATCTTTTAAAGTTATATAAACAGAAAGTACATGAAATTCCCTTTCTGGTGAGACTTTTCTATGGGAAAATTCTTGAAGTTTTTCACATCAAACAAAATTTTGAAGTCCATGACATTGGAGAAAAAGTCCCGAAATAATTTCAAAGAGTTCCTATAAAGCATGAAGGCATAGCAATTTTTCAAAGATGACTAGGACAAAAAATTCATATCGCATAAATTTGTGATTTAAGTCATATTTCAGCATTCAAAATTTCATCAGAGCCCTTAAAATCTAAATGTATTAAAATTGCTTTTTTTTTAACTTCAAGATTTGAAAAAAATTCATTAAATATAAATTTCAAACATCAAAATTTTTAGATGATCAAGGATTTCCGAAGCAAGAATCTAAGCTAAGGGACATCCAATGAAAATATCACACATAAATTACGAGAAAAAGGCTGTGAAATTTTTTTTGCAAATCTGTAATTTCTTTAGAGGGTGCTCAAGAATGTTCCAATACGAAGTCTCTAACGTTCACCACAATGAATCCTCTTCTTCATCGCTGCATAAAACTTTAATGAACAAACTCACATATGGTTGCTTTTAGGATCAAGTTCGGCCACAGCTCTTAACATAGCTTCCTCGATAGCTTGTGTTTGGTGATCCTTGAACATGATTTAGCCCGTTTGGTGGTGGAAAAACAGATCTTATGAGTCGGCCCTCCTGTATACTAGAGTCGGCCCTCCTTGGGCTGGTTCAGTGAGAACCGGCCTAACAGTATCTCGTTAAGCTGAGGCTTAGCTTAAAGCTTTATAAACTCAAGAACATATCATGTGTTTGTCCACTCTCGAGATTAAGAAATTGTCTCTTTTTTGTGGTTGTGTTGCACCCTTCTCTTTCATTGGATAAAGCCATAATCAGGCTTATAGAATCAAGGTTCACGCCAAGTTTTAAAATTGTGCATTGAGACATTTTTTCGTTCATGAGGCGAGGCATAAGCCCTCAAGGCCTTTTGAGGCATAAGCCTCAAAATCTAAAAATTGCTTAAAGTAAAAATGAAGGTTAGAAGTAATTTTTTTTAATAATAATTAAATATATTAAAGAGTGTCATATAAACTTTCTATTGAACTATAAATAACAATGTCATATCTATGGAAATCAAATTGCGCAAGACGTAAAGTGGCAAGTGATAAATTACATGAAAAAAATTGAAATCCAAACATCACAATACAAAAAAAACATAAAATATATTATGTAATAGGAGAAGGAAAATGTGGTTGCGATGACAACCGTCCCCAGGCAATCACTAATGACTGTAGCGACGAGTTGGTGGCAAGAAACTCTCAGTTGGATGTCGAGGATGAGAGCTACGACCTAGATGGGACGGGTCCATGTGAAGTTGCAGGTATTTATATTAAGTTAAAAACTAGTTATTTTTATATATTTATAATTAAAAAAGGACATGAGGCATACGCCTCACAACTATGAAGCAAGATGTGCCTCAAAACACAACTCCCCTTGACCTATTGGTTGAGAGCTTAGGCTTCCAACTAAGAGGTCCAAGGTTCGAGTCCATGTGTATGTGTTGTGTGTGTGAGTTTGCCTTAAATGGCCTAAATGTCCCAAAAAAAAAAGATGTGCCTCAGCTAGTGTTGACTAATAAAAACAAGAAAAAAGGATGCTTTGTTTAACGAATAAAGGCATCACTTTGGAAACGATGCATTCCTTCTGTAAATCGTTCAATAAAAAGACAGATAAACCGAATAGAAAAGAAGAACATGCGCTCTATTCTCTCGCTCGTTTCATCAATTCATATATTTGTCCGGATCTACCTCTTTATGTCAAACACCTTCACTCCCGACCCACAACCTACACGCGTGACGCCTCCATCTGCGCCTAAAGCCCATGGCACCTCACTTCCCTCCGATTTGATCGCACAACCTCCGTCTGACTGTGTCAGCTCTGCGCGCAGGAGTTCCTTTGCGTAATCGTTCAGTGCACGCTAACAACCACGTGACCACCCTTGTCCAAGCCCAGTACGCTTGCACGAGTACCTCCCAAACCGTCTACCCGGCCAAACTCCCTTTCTACGCGCAAGCAAACTGTGCACAATACATCCGCCTTCGTCCGAGACACTCACGTCTGAGCAAAACCTGAGTAGGTTTGTTTTTGCCTATGTTTGTATATGACCCCAATACATACGATAGCACGAAGATCCGTACCGTTATTTGGTTCTTCTATTCTCTTTGTGTGCACAATCTATTTGATTATAGTAAGGCAAAGATTTTACAAAAGCATGCTTCTAGTCGATTACTGCCCCACCTCTTTGTTCAACTACCCGGGAATTGTAATAAAATTTTTAAATTTATAATTGATTAAAATGAATACAAAAATACAATTGTAAAGCAGAAGGTATTTGCCAAAATCTCAAGACCCCACACAATTGATCTTTGATATGGCTGGGATAAATTTCAAACTTGAAAGCCTGCGCCGTGATCTTTGATCCAGGAGGTAAAATTTTCAATCTAAAGACCCTACGTCATTGATCTTTAATTTGAGTAGGATGATTTCTAATTTGAAGACCCCACGTTGTCTTATCTTTTGATCCGAGAGGGTACACTTAACGGCAAGTGTTGTCGCAACCTCCCCTAAAGGGAAGGGGGCGCCAGAAGGCTGTTGGATTTTCAAGAGAATGATTGTTTTTTAAATCTCAAATCACATAAATTAATTATGAGCAACATGTATTCAATTTTAAGACCCCGCGTCATTGATCTTTGATCTGGACGAGAAGATTTGTAATTTCAAGACTGCACGCCATTAATCTGGGCGGGTGGCTTTTAAAATCGAAGATCTCACACTGTCATTCTTTAATCAAGGCAAGATGATTTCTATTTCAAAGATCCCGCACCATCGTACTTTTGATCAAGGCGGGCAGAAACCACGACAAGTGTTGTCTCGACCTCCCCTTGCAGGGAGGGGATGCTGGGTGGCTGTCAAATTTTTTTTGGAGCTATTGGAGAATAATTTGAATTTGAGAATTTTAATAATTACTTCATTTAAAATTTCATTTAATTATTTAAATAATTAATTGTAACTAATCAACTTAAAATAATAATCTCATTGAACAATTAATCAACCAATACAAATTTTTAATTGAATAATCAATTAATCAAATTAAAATAAAAAAAACAATTAATTAAACAATTTAAAATAAAATAAAATCTAATTAAATAAACATCAATTTAAAGTTGAATTCAAAATATAATTTAATTAATTAACTAATTAATCAATTTAAAATAAAAGCAAAACCTCATTTAATTAATTAACCAATTTAAAATTCATTTAACTAATTAATTAATTGAATAATAATAATAATAAAAATAAAATAAAAATGCAATAAAAAATGTGTTTACATTAAACAAACTTACCTAAGTACAAACGCAAATCAACTAAATGCAAACTGCTAAAACTAAAACACCAACCAAACTCTCAGCAACAACAACAACAAGCCTTTATCCTACTATTTGGGGTCGGCTATATGAATTTTTTTTCTCCATTGTGTTTTGTTAAGGGTCAAATTCTCATAAAGAAATGTCATTTCTAATATTTTCTAGCCAAGTCTTTTTAGGTCTACCTCTACCTTTCTTGATAAAAGTCAAATCTAATACATCTACTTTCCTAACAGGGTCATCAGAAGGCCGCCGTTTTATGAGACCAAATCATCTAAGGAGACTCTCTCTAATCTTCTCTTCCATTGGAGCTACTCCAACCTTTTCACATATATACTCATTTAGTATCCTATCTCTAAGGGTAAAGCCACTCATCCACCTGAGCATCCTCATGTCGTATCCTCTATCTGCAAAACTTAACTTAGTATTATGCTTCTCTTTTAATGGTCAACATTCAGCACCATAAAGCATTGCAGGTCTCACCACCACATTATAGAATTTTCCCTTAAGTTTGAGGGAGACTTTTCTATCACACAACAAACCCGATGCATTCCTCCACTTCAACCATCCAACTTGAATTCTGCTGATAATGAAAAATTAAAATAAATAGGGAAGAATGTAGGGTTTTAATTTTTTTAGGTGTCCAAATAAGATGCATGCAGAGCTAGCTCTATTATGTAAACATTGGAGGAAGTATTAATAAGCAATTGCAATTGCAACTCAATCTACATAGGAATAAATATAATTCACCTTAAATATATACTCATACTGGTAAAAAATTCTGTAAAATTAGAAGCAAAACCCTTTTCCTCATGTTTCCTAGAATAAAACTAAAGTTTGAATTTTCGTCGTAGCAGAATATGATCACTCACCACTGCAGGCAAAGCAGAGCAAACCTCAAAGTTAACCTCTAGGACTGGGAATCACTAAGTTAACCTATTTATATACTGAACAAGCAACCTAAAGGTTACCACTGGAACCTTGAAGCTCAAACCTGGCTCAGGCCAACGGTACAATTTGTCAGATTATACGCTCTTTGAAAAAATTTCATCAGTCAAGTGAAAGTCAACCCAAGCATGCATATCTGTACCCATTCATTATAGGCATAAATCCAGTGTTTTAAACATCCAAATTGAAAAACCATATAACCTCCCTGTAAGATCACTCAAAGGAAAATATTGACAAAGCAAGAAGGGTTTTCAAAGCATAAAAATTGAAAAACCATAAGGACCCACTACAACGTCACTCCAAAGGGAAATAAGGACAATGCAAAGCGCATTCACTTCCTTTGTTGGCTATGCCCCTGGAGGGCCAAATCAGGCACTGTCACAAGCACAAATAAATGGGAGAGAAGGGTTGATAATGTTGGATGGAAAAAAATGCCATGGAAAAAAGTTAGCGGATGCTGGAAATAAAGAAGGCCTTTAAGGATAGAAATGGTTGCCAAGTTTGACAAAAGGATTATAGAACACTTCAAACACGTCCTATCTAAATAATGAAAGATCATTTAACATTAGGACCATATAGTGTGGACTTGGATAATGGGAGATTTCAACAGAAAATGGGAGGTGAAACGGCTAGGTTCAGACTACTTAGATCACGGGAAACTTACAGTTTTGCACGAAGCAGTTGAAGGGCGCGACTTTTATTCTGAATCTGCGTTCTTTCTTCTGTACAGAAGATACGTATCCCTGTTGGTTTGTGGAAAAGATCAACAGCCGTCTCCACCTTGTTGACATTTTGCCCTACAACGGTAAAGTAGCAATAAATGATACCAAGCGCTTTAAGAAAATAATAATATTAGGTAAAATACTAAATTTGTAAACAGATTGAAGTGATAATAGTGGTTTTGCATTATTGTAAGGAATTGTTTCGATGATAATGACAATTTAGTCTGAAAATACCTCCAGCGCCCCCAGATCTAGCAGTTGTCAGTGTAATGTCCTTTGGATCAATAAACACGTCTATTTCATCTGCCTGTAAAATAACAACAATATCATAAGCCAATCTGTAATTTATTGGTGCAAAAATCTTTTTTTTTTGCTTTACTATTATACTCCTGCCATAAGGCAGGAGCCATTTAGCACTATCAAGGGTGAGCGCCAATACTGGAGATACAATGTATGATATGGAAAAATAAATTTATTTTTAAATTGAAGTCAAGGAGTTCAGAGGAAAAACAATAGCCCAAGCTCACATTGATATATAGAAAATGATAAGGGCATTATTTGGATAAGGCTAAAGGTGAAATTTAGTCAAACTGTTTTCAACATGAATGAGTGAATAATAATAATGTGTAATACTGACCCAAGTAATTGGGATAAGGATAATAACGAAGAAGGTGATATTTTACTATACTTTATTTAATTAAGATGATATTTTAAGAAATTCAATTTTCTTGGATCATTATTACAAATGATCCATAATAATCATTTCATATCATTTAAGACTGATTAGCGAAATCTTAGTCTTTATTTTCATATTCTTATTCAACAAACATTATGCCCAGTTCTCATGGACGCCCAACAAGTAATGATTATCTTAGTGAAGAATTCAGTAGTGGTGACAATGAATTTTAGGAATTCACATTTACACAAATAAATTACATGGATGGGCAAAAGATTAGATTTCCATGCTATAAATGCAGAAATAGAATAATACTTGTTTGTGATAACGTTACTCTTCATTTGTACAAAAAAGGTTTTCATGACAGACCACTAAATGGTACGATCATTGTGAAATATTGGATCATCAATCATCTGATTGGAAGTGTGACAGATTACACTGAATGGTACGATCATTATGAAATATTGGATCATCAATCTGATAGGAAGTGGGTGAAGAATTAAAAAAAACTATAATAATAACACATAAGAACTTTTTATTGAAAGTCATATGAAAAAAAAAAGTAAGTTATAATTGGATCTTCAATTGGAGAGGAAGAACCGGCTCTCCTAAATCCCTAACCGTTGGCTAGAGCCCTCTCAAAAAAGACTAAAACAAACACAAATAACATCTTTCAAAATAACAACATAGTTAGCCTTAAATAGGCTCCCTTTAATTCCCTCCCAATCAGCCCACTTTTCCTAAATAATTCCCTCTTTGAATTCAAATTAGATTTCTTGCCTTAACTAATTCCCTCTCAATTGTAATTAAAACTTTTCTAAACAATTCCCTCTTGATTACTCCTCCCTTCCTCTAAATAATTTTCACTTAGATTTTGAATTCAAATTAAATCTCTTGCACTAAATAACTTCCTTCTAATTGTAATTAAAACTTTCTTAAACAATTCACCTTTGATTAAGAACATTCCTAAACAGCTCCCTCTTGATTAGGAAACTTCATAATTTCTTCCCAATCAAACCGACCGGTTCATTAATACTCCCCTCCCAAAGTGCCAACTTGTCATCAAGGTGAAACAAAGGAAACTACTGCTGAAGCATCTGACAAATAGCATTGGACTGAAAAACGGACTATCACTGCCTCACTAGGTTGAATGATCCCTACCTCCAGCATCTCCCTGATAAATCTCTCGATCTCATCCTTCTAGAGTTAGGGAGAATGGTGCGGACGAACATTGATATGTGAGACCACTTTCTTCAAACTGATAGCATGCTCGTGTTCCTGCGAAGAAGGCAACCCCTAAACTGGCTGGAACACCTCTTGATATTGTCGTATGAGTTATTGAACCATGTCTGATGCTTCTATCTTCTCCCCATCTTCTTCTATTTTCGAACTTTGCAGCTCCAACAAAAATACTACTCCTTCGCCCCCCCCCCCCATACACACACACACACACACAAATGTTTAAAATTATGCAATTGGGTATTGAGACATTTTTTGTTTATGAGGTGAGGCATAAGCCTCAAGGCGTTTTGAGGTGTTAGTCTTAAAATTTAATTGCGTAAAGTCAAAATGAGTATTTTTTATATAATAATCAAATAATATATTAAAAGTGAACATAAAAAATAAATTATCTTATGAACACAAAAATGCACAAGATATAAAATGTGTTAAACTGAATTGAAATTCAAACATCATAATAATAAAACAACATAAAATATAGCTTAACTCAAAATTATATCTTTCCCAATATCATGTTCATTAATATTTGATTAAAAAAAGACATAGTAATGACATAGCAAATTAAAGGGTCATCAACACTGTCATCAATAAGGGGGTCTTGATTTAAATCATCATTATAATGAATTATTTCCTCCATTGCCTCAACACTTTGTGGGCTCCGAAAATTCGACCTCGGCCTCCGCCCGCACTATTTGCTTTTCTTTTTGGCGAGGGAGTTTTAACAAATTTAAGTTCCGTGGTAAATTTTGGGAAGGCAGATGGGTTTGTAGATAAGACACTACCCAGAGAATTCGCTCTCATTTTGCAAGGACTTCATGATCTGAGTTCTGGTTTCCTATAGGCACAAGCCCCTATAGTTAATTACCCCTCCGGATCACGAGAGAGAACTTTCGATTAAGGCTAGCCGTTAATTAGATACGTAGAATATACGTGTTATCTGGCATATAGTAGCAGCAATGGGTTATGGATTTGAAAATTCGGAAAATTTAGAAATTTGAAGGTTTTGGTATTTAAAAATGAAAATTTCACTATCTAGCACTTATAGCGGATGGTGGGGGGAATGAATGATAGACCCGATCAAGATCCCATGGTTCCGTCGTCTCGGGCCATTATGGTCCCTGGTCTACTTAGTCAGAGGAGGTAGTCGACCCAACATGACAGAAGGATCCTTGTCGGCAGCCATGGGTTGCTTCATCCAAGGGTACCTTGTAGACCTGGGGTGAATATTTGTCTAAGGGGATAAATTTGAATACATCTTAGCTAACAGAGGGCTTTGTGCCCTATCGATCATATCCTATTGATTCATATCTCAAGGATTTGATGCCAATAAGGAGCGTATCGGCTCTAGCCATAACCGGTATTTCGTGATGCCATTTAGCGGCAAAACCACTCGGTTCAGAAGGCCCTAGGTCATAACCGTTTATCCTGCGGTGTCATTTAGTGGCAAAACTGTTGGTTAGAGGACACGTGTCACGTCCTTACTGGCAGGAGACTGTTTGAGAATGGATCCTAGGGATATTTTCGACAAGGCATTAGCTCTATGTGAGATGAAGTGATTTTAATTTGTCAATCCGACAAATTGTTGCAGAGAGTGGATGGATTTGCTTTAAATGGTTGATGAATTAATTTTAATTTTAAATATCCTGAATTTGGATTTTTTTTTGGATTTTTGGATGATCTATAGGATTTTAGATACTTGAGTGGAGTTTGGATGGCATTTGAAAATATTTGTGAAGCCCTCCGGTTGAGATTTTCATGCAACACGGCCATCATCGAGGTGAATGAGGTCATTTCCATTTAAAGTTTGAACCTTATCGACTCTATTAATTTGCCGATAGGGGATCGAGTTTCGTAGGCTTTATCTCTTTGTTTGTGAATTTTCATTGTTGAAGGCCTAATATGAATGTATAAAATAAATACTCCGGTCGACTTCGTGACCGCATATTTATCCAATGATTCGAATCCTGTCTGCTCCTATTTTCCTGCTTAGGAGGATCGGGTTTCGTAGGCTTTATGCCTTTATTAGTGAATTTTGATTGTTATAGGCATTGACGACCTAATATGAATGTATTAAAACAAGTATATCGGTCATTATAACCGTATATTTGTTTGATGGTTCGAACCCTGTCAACTTCTATTGATCCGCATAGAAGGATCAGATTCGAACTTGAATTCAATTATTGACTCACGTAGCATCCCTAGACGTCACTTGTGTATCAATAACACGCTTGTCGAGGCCCATGCGAGTTTTGTGATTGCATTCACCCCTTTGTGTACCTATGTGTATACAGCTTATAGTGCACATGTAGGGGTACTTCAAAATATTTTAGTTGTGCGGGTAATTGTCATTTGAGTGCACACAACTTGTCATTTAAGAGCTTATACATGCCTTATGTCCGCTAATACGAGTGTCGTGGATCCAGTGGCGATATTATCTGGATATCCTGAGGCATCTCATCATCTTGTGGTTGACTCCCCTTTCTTGTTCACCGGGTAGAGTCTTTCTTGAAATTTATGGTCACTGCCTTATAAAGAACTCTTTTTTAAGACTTTCAGTGTAATAGATTTGTTGTTTCCGGTGATCGTGGATGGTAGAACTATTTTCTTCCTAAGTATAGGATTAAAATAAATTTTGGAACAGTAGGAAGTTTAGTTCTAATTTGTTCAAACATCCATTTCCTTCTGCCAGGGGATGTCCTTTGTACACCGAGTTGCCATCATACCCGACGTACTCGTAGATCTTAATCATTGTTGTCGTAGGTGACATTTGTACTTGTGTCCACAAGGGTTCATTGTACTTAAGATATACCCATTGTTGTTATCCACAGTAGCTCGTATTTATTTGCAGGGACCCATTCTATTTGCTACGATTTCCTGGAGGTATTCGTAGGAGATCCATTTTTCCTACATTATATCCACCTTTCACCAATCTCAAGTGGTTTGATGTTCGTACTTGTTTGTAGGGACGGGTCTTCCACTATCAATTGTTAGTGTTGCCATCTCAATCTACAAGCATTTGTAGGGACTGTCGTAGGAGTTTGTTGCATTATGCTTATACATGTTTGTGAAAAATTGTAAATCCTTCACATTTGCTCACGAACACGTGTTGAATGTACGGCAGGCCTCCTACAAAGGATTGTCGGTACTTGCACTTGTTGAATATCAAATATCCTCGGCTTGTAGAAGACAGGTGCATCTTCTTGTCACTGCCTTATTGTGGGTTGTATGAACATATTAACACTTGTGGTAGACTCAATCAAGTGACATTGTATGAAGATTGCATTTTGCTCCAAACTTTTCAAATACAACTTTGCTGCTAACTCGTTGTAGGATGAACTATTTTGTCGCTCATAGATAAATCTTGTTGAATGTGACAAGTCCTTTGTCGTTCG